CTGCACCCTGAGCCTTGTTTGTACTCTGTGCCCTTCACCCTGTCTGTACCCCTGAGTCTTGTCTGTACCTCATGCCCTGTCGGCACCTTTAGTGCTCTCTGCTCCCCATGCCCTGTCTGCACCCTGCAGCCTTCACCCTGCCTGCACCCTGCACCCTGAGCCTTGTTTATACCCTGTGCCCTGCACCCTGCCTGTACCCTGCACCCTGTGCCCTGCCTGCACCTTTAATGCTCTCTGCACCCTGTGCCCTCCCTGCACCCTGCCCTGCCTGTACACTGAACCCTGAGCCTTGCCTGTACCCTGTGCCCTGCACCCTGCCTGCACCCTTCACCTTGTACCCTGCCTGTGCCCTGCACCCTGAGCCTTGTTTGTACCCTGTGCCCTTCAGTGCTCTCTGTACCCTGTGCCTGCCTGCTCCCCGTGCCCTGACTGCACCCTGCCCACACCCTGCACCCTGCTCCCGTGCTGCTCCTGCAGCCTGCACCCTCTCCGTGCCCTCCCCCTGCCCACACCCTGCCCGTGCTCTACTTGCAGCCCGCCCACACCCTGCCTGCACCCTTGTCCTGCCTCCACTGCTGCCCACACTCTGCCCTCACCCAGCCCAGGAACCTGGGGGGGACCCCTGCGTGCATGCACCCCCCTAGGCAGAGCACCATGGCAGGAGGAGGGCACCTGGCTGCCCTGCTGCCAACCTGCTCAGCCCCCCGAACAAGGCATCCCAAAGGAACCTCTGGGCCCTAAGAAGCTGCACAGCAACTTCACTTGGCAGCTGCCTCCTCACTGCAGCCCTCTGACACCCTCACTGCAGCCCCAGTGCAGCCCCAGTGCAACCCTGCTCAACCCTCACTGCAGTCCCATTGAATCCCCACTGCATCTCCAGCTCATTCCCATTGCATCCTCACTGAATCTCTGTTGCTTTCCCACTGCATCCCCAGTTCATCCCCTCACATCTTCACTGCATTCTCTTTGCAGCCCCACTGCAGCCTCACTGTGTTTCCACATTGTCCCCACTGGTTTTTCACAAAATCCCCACTGCATCCTCAGTTCATTCTCATCCCAGCCCCACTGAATTCCCTCTCCATCCTCCGTGCATGCTCACTGCATTTTCACTGACTCTCCAGTGCATTCTCACTGCATCCCCATTGCTCCCACACCACATCTCAGTTCTGTTCCCCCTGTACCCTCAGTTCATCCCCACTGTGTCCCAGCTGAGCTCCACTTCCATCCCCACTGCATCCCCAGTTCCTTCCCACTGCAGCCTTGTTGAATCTCCACTGCATCCTCACTGCATCCTCCTCNCCAGCGCAGAGCCGAGCGGGCTCCTTGGTGTGAGCACCCCCAAAACGGGGTGCCCACAGCCAGCCCATCCCACTCCCCGATTCCTGGGGTGGTTTTGCTCCCTTTTTGGGGTTTCCTTTTCTTTTTAACAGATGCCTCGAGCAGCTGGACTCATCGTGGGTGTGTTTAATGGGTGCAGGGGCTCTCTGCATTTGGAGGGACCCCATAAATATCACCCCCCAAACCAGCCCCAGCCCTGCCTCAGGGGGGGTCCCCTTTTATGGGTTTTTTTTTCTATATCTATATATCAGGTGAAATGCGGGATTTTTTCACAAAAGAAAGTAGGGGTGGGGGGAGGGAGGTGATGGGGACACACACACACACTTTTTTTAGGGGTTTTCTGATTAAAAGCTGCTGCGCTGCCCAGCACCGGCGCTTTGGGTGAGTTTGTGCGGATTTCGAGGCGGGGAGGGATGTCCCACGACCTTCTGGGTGATGTCATAGGCAGGGTGATGTCACAGGGCACCAGCCAAGCTCCTCAGGGTGAGGTGACATCACGATGGACGTGTGGTCACACCCATGACCGTGATGTCACACCTGTGACCATGATGTCACTCCCTGTGTCAGAGGTACAATACCACAATGAGTGTGTGACATCACAGCGCCTCACTGGTGCCTGGATCATGCCATACACACATGTCACATGTCCATCAGGGATGTCACCTGTGCCTGCATGATGTCACACCTACCATCACCCAGCAGCAATGTGACACGTGCCTGTATGATGTCACACCCCCAGTCACGCCTGGTGGTGACATCACACACAGTGGAATGATGTCACTCCAGCCATCACAGATACCATGGTGTACCTGTGATGTGTGTCACACACGCAGCAGTGATGTCACACACACCTGCATGGTGCCACACGTCCAACAGTGACATCACACACACCTGCATGGTGCCACACATCCAGTAAGCTGTCACACACCTGTAAGCTGTCACACACCCAGCAGTGACATCACACACACCTGCATGGTGTCACACACCCAGCAGTGACGTCACACACACCTGTAAGATGTCACACACCCAGCAGTGATGTCACACACGCCTGCATGGTGTCACAGCAGCTGTCACTTGTCCAGTAGTGACATCACCACCCATCTCATGCCAGCACCTCACAGGTCATCTCCCACCCACAGTGATGTCACAGCACACCCTGATGTCACGTCCCACGCCTGGCAGAGATGTCACACGCGCCTGCAGCGTGTTGTACACACACATGGGAGGTCCCTGCTGGCACCCCCAGCCCCCCAGCCCTCCCCCCTGCCCGCTGTGACCTCACCGC